CTTCACTCTACCAACTTTGGTGCCTGCTTAAATAATAATAATAATAATAAGAATAAGAATAATAATTGCTCTAGCAAGCCTACCCAGGCATGTGAATTTAGTTAAGTATATGGTGGTGGTTGTTTGTTTGTTTTTAAATTACTGGTTTTATTTTGTATTTTAATTTTATAAGCTAAGTTGGTTTTAATGCTTGTATTGGTATTTTAAATGAATGTTTTAAATGAATACAAATCACTTAGAGATCTTTTATTCTGATAAGTGGTATATATTGTTAGGGACGCGGGTGGCGCTGTGGGTGGCGGGGTGAGCTCCGTTGCTCGGTCCCTGCTCCTGCCAACCTAGCAGTTTGAAAGCACATCAAAGTGCAAGTAGATAAATCAGGAACCGCTCTGGCGGTAAGGTAAAACGGCGTTTCCGTGCGCTGCTCTGGTTCGCCAGAAGTGGCTTAGTCATCGCTGGCCACATGACCCGGAAACTGTACACCGGCTCCCTCGGCCAATAAAGCAAGATGAGCGCCACAACCCCAGAGTTGGTCACGACTGGACCGAATGGTCAGGGGTCCCTTTACCTTTACCTAGATATTGTTACACCAAGAGTGTTTAATCCTAACACAGGCAGCACTTCTCTGTTTTCATCAATTCAGAAATAAATAAATAAATTAAAGATACTGTTATATTAATTAAGCACTTTTCAGTGTTCATCAGCTCAGAAATAATGAAATAGCCTGTTAGTATTAATTCTTCCGACCATTGGTTATATATTGCCATTCCCTGTGTCTAATGGTACACTTTTATTTCAAGTAACAACTCACTCTGTGGAGAAAATACATGGTAGTGTGCTAAGGGGAAATTTGTTCCCTTAAGAATCCAGCAAATTTCAACCAAAAAACTGCTCAGTCTACAAACAGATGCAGACCTAAAGGTTTTCTTATGTCTGAAAGCATTTAACACCATCTATTAATAATGTGGCGTAGTTCACAGAGCACTTTAAAAGCCAGCTGGGATAATTATCACCTAGTTTTAAAAGCAATATAAGCACCCAGATGAGGAAATTGATCAGTTTAACTCAGGTGACAGATGGCAGCCCCCCACTTCCTCATGAATTGATTATCTCCACAGCTGGACAAAAACACGAGGGTTTTGATTGTAAGAGTCAGCTTAGGCACAGGGTGATTAGGGCTTCATTTCCACATCTGCAGCTCAGTAGGCAGCAATGTCAGAGAAGAGCGGCTCAGCCAAAGCCAGTCACTCCAACCTGTGGCAGAAGCATCACGCCAGAAGTCTTAGCACGCTCCTTGCTCCCCTCACCTGCACAGCTGAATGGAGAGCTGCTGGCTCAACCTGCACTTTTGCTGTTTGTAGACTTCACAGAATGAAGAACAGACAAGTGGATTCGTACTGGTCAAACTGTTAAATAAAGCTCACCTGCCCCAATGAAGAACAAACCAGCCAATTTGGTGAGTCTTGCATTTCTCTGAAAGTTCTGAAATTAGATTAACATTTATTTAAGGGTTGTCAGATCCAGGGTGGGATGAGACCTCTGGGCCTTTAATAGTGGAGAACAGAGGATTTTAGCAACATTGATTTTCCCCTTAATTGTAGAGCGATGATTAGAGGGCTGCACCTGATGCAATTTTCTGTTTGACACAGCTTTTTATGTCACTTATTTTACGAATCCTAAATCTACAGCAAACTCCAGGGTTTAAAATGATTTGCAAATGAAATCTGAAATACAGTACAAATTCAAAGCTAATAATTTGGTGAATGATTGTTCAGAAATACTGCCAAGAAATATCAATAGGATGCAATAATAACATGCAGTCAGTTCTGAATCTCGGGGGTTCACCAGATTTCTGGGCATGGGGGGAGAAGACAATCCCTTGTGAGTGTTTCCTAATTCAGTATAGTTGTACCAGGAATATGATGCAACTGCAAAAAATACAAATTATAATACATGAGAACAGTTTATTCTGAAATAATCAGTGGACTATATATTATAGTAGCATGTTATTATGTCTCATTCCAGTGTTAGGTCAGTGTATTATATGTTTATTATTTGTTCAGATTCTTCATATATCCATTAGTATATATTAATAAAACAAATAATTTCACAAATATATGAAAAAGTATGACATTGTAAGCTATAAAATATCAATTTATCTGCTATATGACTGAATATCACTGCACAATTGCATGCCAATGATATATTGTATTATTCTTGGAACAATAGAGTTTACACTGTATTGAAGCTTTCTAGAATTTAAATATTGCCTGTTGGCCTGTTGGCTAGCAACAACAAAAAGCCTGGATTATTTAAAGTTTTTCCTACAGTTATTTAGAAATGTACCTACACTATTATACAGCTGGTAAAAATAAGGTCACAATCCAGGGTAAGTTAAGCACTGTTAATTCTAATTGATTCTTAATAGGACAGTTAACCATGTGCTTCATTTTTCTTTGTTAAGTAAACAGGGTTTTAAAGTGCTTACTTTTGGCAGGTTTTGCGCCTTTCGGAATTGTATATTGCAATATTCAGGCAGAATTACTACAGTTCTGAAAACAGTCTCAGTTAACAAAGTGTTTCGTAAGAAAAGTAATGTGGTAAAGACAAATGGCAAATGTTACACTGTAATATTTCTGGACTTGATGCTTTGTTGCATTTTATTATTACATTGACAATATTTGAGAAAAGTAAGTTTTCTGAACAATTAAAAATAGGTAAATTTAAAACTTGATATGCCATTACAGTTTCTGCTTATGTTATTTTTCCTAGTTTCCTGATCACACAATTTTCGGCAATACACTTTTTTGGTTTATTTGTTTTCTGTGAGTCCAGTGTTTTAAAGTCACCTACTGCATGAGCAAGTTAGCAAAATACGTTTTAGTTATTTATTTGTGGATTAATAAAATCTGTGGGATAGCTGAAACAGAGTCAGATTATTTCACATACATATTAATTTTATACCCAAAAACAACAATTACATATTGGATCCCCCCCCCCCCCCCCACAAGTTTTTACAAGCCGGGCTGCATGTACTGGAATTGGAATATTTTTCTACACTTACTTGATAGCTCATTTAATTGTATTGCAAACCTGAAATGCCAAAACTCTCCAGTAATGCAAGCCATACATGTCCACTCTAGAAATTAGCTCCATTGCGGATTGCAGCTTAATTTTCCTAGCCAGTAGACCAACCTTCATCTCCAACTTTGTGGCCTCCAGATATTTTGGAATGAAACTTCCTTAAACCACCATCAGCATGACTGGGAGAGATTTAGAGGGACTGACCTCCTACATAGTTTGGTACATTAAGAGAGTTTGAATTTGTCATGTAGGTTTATTTGTTTGTTTGTTTATCTTCCTAATTAGAACTGGAGTTTCTTGTCTTGTATTATGCTCATTGGATAAGTTTGCTTTGGTTCTAAAACTAGACTCAGGTGAATTTGCCTTTAAGTAGTTTACATCAGTACAGATATATGTTGCAATTTCAAGTGAAAATAGTAAATGTTATTTGCTTTAGAAGGTTCAAACATGCTTTTTAAAGCACATTTCTCTCTGTTAACTTGGGAAAGTTAATGACTTCACCACCTTTTGTTCTTTTAATGCAGACATTTGCAAAATATTTGGTGATTATGAATTCAGCTGTTAGTTGTTAAGTGCTGCTTTTGATGACTTGATAAACTCTGCAGCAATTTGTATGTTGTAAACAGAGGATTTAATTTAAAGTTTAAATGAGAAGCAGCCACTAAGAGGATAGTCTGCCAAGCAATAAACACCTGTTTTCCCCTACGTCTTCCACAAAGAACTTGAAAATAATGAAAATACAGGAAAATACCTGTAACAACAGAATTGCGTCCTGGTGGGCTTTTTCTTAGCCATGCCATGCAATTGACAGTTTTCTTTCTCAAATATCCATTAACAAGATTGCAGAATCTGGATCACCTTGGAAGAAAACATAGCTTGTATTGGGTGATATTTCCATTTATATTTCTTACTAATTAATGAAAACTTTAGCTTTCTGGTACAAACTACACTTAGAAAATCTTCCACTGAAAGTTATAATTACAACACAGTAAACTACATTTACCACAAAAAGCTGTAGGTAAAACTTGCACTAACTGCTTCTCTAGTATGAAGCAGAAGTTGCACAAAGACAATTTCTGACAATAACTGAGCCTTGGTAGTCAGCATCTACAATCGGTAACCTGTTGAAGCATTTGTATATTTCACTAACATACACCAATACTTCACAAATGTAGGTGTTGTTAATAATATTATATTGCAAGCAAACAAATATTGTCAGAGGTAGGCATAACATATCAGAAAACTGCCTTCCCTTTTTCAGTACAAAAGTTTCAGACTGAGATAGAGAAAGCACACATTGTGTACAAAGTACATCAGTAGTTTTTGCCAACTTAGCTTTGTTTCATTCTCTCACCTCATCATTCAGACTTTTAGAGACAGACTTTTTGAGCAAAATCCTTTAAGCATGCAAACTTGATCAAGTATTTCAACATAAGTAACAGATTAGCAGCGTATTTTTTATCAGGACTAATAGAGAGGATATGCATGGAAACAGGCTTGTAAGAAATGAAACAGGCCTTTCACACATGCAAGGTAGCTATTTGCACAAGTTGATATAGGTGATCGGAGATTTTATCAATGGAACATAGAATCATAGAACTGTAGGGTTGGAAGAGACCATGCGGGTCTAGTCCATGGGTAGGGCAAACTAAGGCCCAGGGGCCGCATCCGGCCTAAGCGCTTCTAAATCTGCCCGTGGTCGGTCCGGGAATCAGCGTGTTTTTACATGAGTAGAATGTGTCCTTTTATTTAAAATGCATCTCTGGGTTATTTATGGGGCATGGGAATTCGTTCATTTTTCCCTTCAAAATATAGTCCGGCCCCCCACAAGGTCTGAGGGACAGTGGACCGGCCCCCTGCTGGAAAAGTTTGCTGACCCCTGGTCTAGTCCAATCCCCTGCAATGCAGGAATCTTTTGCCCAAAGAGGTGCTTGAACCCACAGGCCTGAGAATAAGAGTCCCATGATCTACCAACAGAGCTATGCAAGCTACTGTAGCACAGAGAGAAGCTTAGCCAACTGAAAGCTAGAAACCAGGGAATATCTTTCACTAATCAGCTTCTTCCTGTCTCTAGCATTCCAAACCAATGATACTGTGCTCAAAGCCTCCATCCAACATAGACACCTAGGCTGAGAATCCTGCTTTTTCTCCTGCTGGCAGGTCCACCCTGTGACAGCTATGTTCTGGGAGGTTCCCGTTGTTGGAGGAATGGGAAGGCAGCTCTTCCCGATTCCCCCTTTCCCTTACAACCCCAGAAATCTGCTCCAGAGGGTTGGGTGATTCTCCTGAGCATTGTGGGGTAACTGAAGGAGGAAGGATGAATAAGCAAAAATTGCCCTTCAAGCAACATGGTCATCTGCTGCATCTTGGTCTTGTCCATGACTGGAAGCAAGCCCTTCCTTTGAAGCCTAGTTAGGATCCAAGCTAAAGCCTCCCATTCTGGGGCATTATACATGCACTCCTTGCATACAGACCACTTCATTACGGTTGCAAATACCCGAATGCATTTTTAAAAGTTCTTTTTTTGGGCCGGGGCAATTCAACACTACTAGGGAGTATAATGTGAAGGATAGAACTTTGATAATAAAGAATAGTGTTTTGTGTTGGCATATTGATTATAGAAGAATATGCTTGAGAAGCTTTTATCCTGTTGAACAGTGTATGTTCAGCTAACATATTAACTATCTGTTGAACTAAATGAACACAAAGGAAATTTAATACTTTTCTCTAAGCAATAGCCTCATAAAATTATTGTGGCATGTTTCATAGGTGCCCTCTTGCTTGTGTTTGATAGTCAATACTTGCTCTTCCTTTCCTTTGCTGTGTTTGACTGGCCACAGAGTGGCAATGCAGCCTTGAGAGAAGGCATCACTCCACACCGAAAGCAATGGAGTCAAGGTGACTTGCCAAAACTTTCGAAAGGAATAAAATATCTTATACTTCTTTCCCCTTATGGATAAAGATATCCAAAACAACAAGATAGAAGATATTTCAACTCATAAGAGTAGCTCAGAGAATAGTGTGACTCAAAATAATTTTTTAAGCATGAAATGAAAAGCTGCAACTCTACACACACACACACACACACACACTCAAGACTTGCCACTACAAACCAGAGGATACCGCCAATGAGAAATGAAACTGGCAGAGCAACTAAGCACTGCTTACATTGCTGAAGGTACTCCAGGCTGTTGATCTACTGCTATGCTGAATTAGAATTTTCATTCTCTAGGGTTTTAGAAATGTTTTAATGCATGTACAATGTAAAATTGCCATGTTTTGGAGGGTGGCAGGTTCTGTCCTTACAAGTGCATATTCCTGTAGCTTTTGAAAATACCCCTGTAGATACAGTTGGCTTTGCAAAGAGCTCTGGAGGAGCAGGGCGCCCAGAAGTGTCAAGAGAAAAGCCTACTATCATGATGGTGCCACCCCCCCATATATATTCATTGCCTGAAAAGGATTGTTTCTTTCTTTCTTGGACTGCCAGAGGGAGTCTGCACTTTCATTCTGCAAATGGAAGGGTTCCTCCCAGTTATGGAAGGAAATGAAGAACTCCAGCAGATGCTCCCACTAGTAAAAGAGGAAAGGTCAGACTTGCAAAAGGCAAGACAGACAAGGGAAGGGGTGAGGAGACATAGACGAGGGAGATCAGTTCAGGCCAGGGTGATCTTCTTCTTGTGTTCTTGCTCCAGTAGTGGTGGGTGTAGCCAGTGCATGGGGTACCTTTCTGCAGCCCCAGGGCAACCAGCCATGGAAGCAGAGTTCTTCCTGGCAGGAGGGATAGGGAAGCAAACTCTCTGCAGCTGCTCAATGATGGATGATGAACCTCCCAGGAGAAAAGAAGTCCAGCATTTGGGTGGCCTTTGGCACCCTGGCTGATGGCAGAGAGAGGGCAAGCTTCTGTTGCCCTTCAGCTCTGGAAACTATGGCAATGGTCAGTTGGACCCAGTGTTTTTTTCTGCCAAGCAGACTAACTGGTGATTGCTGACATGGCTGTTTCTAGATTCCCAGTATATCACTGAATATTAATCTACTAATTAAAGTTCTTTAAACAGGTGCTAAGCTAGAGCACCTAGTACCATTCTGTCATGCCAGTACATGAAATTGTTTCCTCCAGATGGTCAGGCGAGTGAATGTCTTTCTGCAAGGATTCCCTCTTGAGATCCTGCTTAGCCCTCTTTAGTTGCAATACTCATTTAAATAATTCTGCATTTTGCACAAAAACTGAGTTAAACGCTACTATGTGGATTTTGCAAATTACACTTCCTTTGCACTTTCTGCAGTCTAACATTTATATCAGGTCAGCAACAACAGGTCTCAAATTGCTCAAAATGTTCATTTTAGCCATGAAAATTCCAACTGGCAGATGTTAACATGGTATATAAGTGGTTAAATGAAAACTGAGCGGCGTATATCTACATACAACATTTTGGAAATAAACATGGCAGAATAATGAGATTTTTCATTATCCCCCATTCCTGGTATCCTGATTTTTAATTTGTTTTTAAAATATTTGCTTGTTGATTTTGGTGGAGAGTTTATTTGTGCCACTCTTTCATTGTTGGTGCTGACCTTGAAAGCCCTAAACGGCCTCAAAGGCCCAGTAGACCTGAAGGAGCGTCTCCACCCCATCGTTCTGGCCCGGACACTGAGGTCCAGCTCTGAGGGCCTTCTGGCGGTTCCCCATTGCGAGAAGCAAAGTTACAGGGAACCAGGCAGTGGCGCCCGCCTTGTGGAACATCTCCTTCCATCAGATGTCAAGGAAACATACAACTATCTTAATTTTAAAAGACATCTGAAGGCAGCCTTGTTTAGGGAAGTTTTTAATGTGTGATGTTTTATTCTGTTTTTAATCTGTTGCCAGCAGCCCAGAGTGGCTGGGGAAACCCAGCCAGATGGGCAGGGTATAAATCATAAATTAGTATTATTATTATTGCTTCTTGTGATTTCTATCCAATGTTCTTCATGCTTAGAGGAAACCCATTGAAATTAATGACATGTCTAATGTAGGTCCAATTAATTTGAATGGGTTGCCTCCGAGTATAACTTGGTTGAATACAACCCAATATTTATCCATCATCATGGTCAAATTTTCCATCATTCCTTTCCCTCCATTATGTCAACTGGCGTCTGTACTTTTCCTTTAAAAGCAAAAAACCCAACTCTCCTTCAGCTGATAACAAAGGGGATTTCATTCTGCAGTTTCCCTACTCTTGGCTTGCTTAGATAACTATAATTCTCTGAACTCCCTGTTGTGTTTCTCAAGAAGCACAATCATGTAGCAATAATTAGACGCTGCAGAGCTTATCCTCATAGGTACAAAAGGGTGGGTTCCTGGCCACCACAGGTCACTTTGCAGCCATGAAAAACACCAATTGAATCTTGGTCCAATAAAAGCACAGGAAAGTTATCAATCTTATTCCAAAGTTCAGAAGTGACAGACATGGAATAAGAACAGAAAAACAATGTAAAAGCCTTTACAAATAGAAGTTGACATGACAGTAAATGCTAAGAATTTAAAGGGAATAAAACTCTATTTTTCTTTTGCTCCTGACCATACTTGATATCGTTTATATATTTACAGGTTTGAGGTCAGACTCAGCATCTTGTTATGGACGGTCCAAGGCAATTTCTTGTAGCCTCTTTACCAGATAATACTATGCAAGATAGTACTATAGAATATTAATTAAATAATCTAAAGGCTTATGTCCATTGAGAATAGACTTAGTGAGGTTCGTTCATTCATACATATTGTCACACACCACCCCCAATCTCCACAGCAGTGCGAGATTCCAGAGAGCTCCAAGCAAACTTTACCCCAGGTTTGAGTTTCCTTTTACAAAGGAGGTGCAGCAGGGACTGTGGTGTCTGTGTGATATATTTGCCCATATATACAACCTGCGCCTGCCATGGAGGGGATCAGAGCATCAGCATTCCAAGAGGGCCCTGCTCCTCCCACGAGCTCAGCAGCGCCCTTCCCTGCAGCTTAGCCCAGCTTCCTCTAAGTCCAAACTCTCTGCCTCTCATCTCAGCCCTTTATCTGCAGAGGGAGCGAAAGCCCCATTCATGTGCATATCACATGGTTCCTTTGAGAATAATTATTGGTTTTCAGTTACAATCCAATAATAGCCTCATTATAACAATAGCAATTTATAATACAATTATGAATACCAATCATTCAAATTCCAAATTATATAATTTAGATAAGGTGACCCCCCCATGTGCTAGAATTGATGGCTTGATTATTTGCTTTATTTCTGCATTCCAAAAACTTATTAATTTCCATTACATTCCAGTCATAATAATCCCTTATACAATAACTGCAGTATTATTAATAATTTCAATTTGTGTTGACACATTAAATTATTTATAAAACTGCAACTGAGGAACTCAAACTATACTCTTGTTCTTCCTGTGTGTGGCAATTATTCTGTCTGATGTTTCTTCCTGTCCTTGTAAGATGTTATGTCTTTCTTTCCCTCAGTTGCTGCTTTTCTCCACCATGCCTTGGGCAAAGCTGATATCCCATTGTTGTTCCAGACATGTCTCAATTGCTCCATCATGTGCGCCATCCCGGGCTGCAAAAATCACTCTGTCCTAACAACTAACATGTTTTCACCCATTTTCCCTCTCAGCCTGGGAAGAAGAGTGGTCTGTCAAACTGCAGATGACTCAGTAATGAACCTTATCAGTTCCTTGGCAAGTTCACACTCCTTTTATTCTTCCGTCCAACTGAAGATATATGAGCAATTATACTTCCAATTAAATTAAATTCCTAGTGCTCTTAGTGTTATTCAGTTCATTCCGTAAATAATAAAGGATGGGGAAGAGTCAGCTTTATTTTTCATCATAAACCTTTTGCAAAATAAAGCTCCCTCCTTTTTTCCTTTTTTTTACACACACAGTTCTGTTTAATGTTATATTCCATATCTATAATCCAATTTCTTCCGTCCTTGCTTGTACAAATATAATTACTTGAACTAACATTC